GATAACTAAATGGCATGAAATATTGTGTCATCATATCACAGGCAGTACTTTATTTTCTGTTAAAATAGACTTGAAAAGACTAATAATCAATGATACATCCTGGTTTGGCCCATGGTATTTTCCGCTTTTGTGTGACAGCAATTCACATTAACTTTCCTGTGCTGGGTAAATGTTGAAAGTGTCTTTTGACAACTCAAGGGCTGAACACACTATAATGATCACTTGCATTAAACCAAAAGGCAAAACTTGTCTGAAGAAATGTTCACTGACATATAAACTGCTTGTTCACTTTTTTGAAAAGCCACCTCCCAGAGCCAAAAAGAAAAAAGTGTTGAGTTTCATGTGCCTGGTGGAGGAGTGCTATTTCTAGAGACGAAAAGATCATTTTTCAAAGTCATTTTCTGAAATGATTGTGCCTCCATTGATGGATCACATCAAGTTATTCTTTGAAGCTTTCAGAGTAAGCAAGAACTTGCCAGGAAAACGGATTTTTTAAAAAAAAGTGTGCCCATTGTGTTGGCGATTCTAGGAAAGATTTCCTCTCAAGCTATCCCAGAGCTCAAGTGAACAGGTGTTGGGTTTTATCTGTTACAGATAGTAGCCACTATCACTCCCGTGTTCCCGTCTCCCAGAAAGGATTTTCTTCTTTCCAGATGTAAGGCCACTCCTCCTTCCCGCCCACTTTACCTCCCAAAGGAAGAAAAATCTCTTTCATAGAACTTGTGGTGAGTGGCAGTTTCCAAGTTCAGTCGATTCCGTCTCATTCTGGTGCAGTACCTCTGCTACCAATTATTCTATCTGGGAGCACATGGAATGCCCAGAAGAGTAGCGCAGTTTGCATAAGAAACCTGTCAGTCCGCTGCCATACTGTAGGTTTTATCCTGAGCAGCAGCCCCTGACTGAGCAGGCTGGCAGCCTTCAACCATGCACAGGAAGGCTACTGCTTGCTTGCCAGGGGCCAGTGAGCAGGGCCAGAGCGACCCGTGCGCCTCCAGGAGCGAAGCCCTGGACTCTTGGAAACCGTCTAATAAAAAGCCACTGCTCTACCAGCATGCTTCAGAAAAAGAAAAAGAGAAAGAAAGTGGACAGCAAGAAGCTGCCTGACATATGCTCAGGCCTCCAAGAAAGGAGATAACTTGGAGAAACTCCCCCGAAGTTTGGGAGAAAGTTTAGGTTTGGCAAGTTTGCTTCCGGCGTCCCAAAATTACATGTTAGGTAAAGACTCTGAATAATAATTGAAGGCAAAGATAAGACACAGCAACAGTGTGGGAATAGGTTGCTTTAAGAGATGCTCAAACCTACCAGGGCCTGATGGAAGTGCCAGGCACAGACCACAAAAGGAGCTGGTTTTTCTCTGCTTGCTTACCTGCACTTTTCGGGGGACAGAGGACCAAGCTACCCGGGAAGCTGGGAGAGAAGAAGTAGCTAAAGTAACAAAGAAATACTCAAGGCCCGGCAGGCTGTGATGCCTAGTCTGGAAGGAGAGATTCACCCTCGCCCTCTATGACCACTATTGGACTGGGACTCGGCTGGCTGCGGGGGAACAAGGGGAACAAAGGTTCGTCCTTTGCACAATTCAGGGACTTGTGCGTGCACGGGCACGGGCTCAGCAAAGAACCCCCGGGTGGGTCGGGGTGGGGGGGAGTTTCCTAGGCTTTGTGGCCAGAAAAGCCAGCACCCACAAACATCTGACTGGACTTGGGACATGCCGCTGACTTTCTAAAATGCTCCTTAAGGGTAGCCAAGGCACCCAGGAGCTGACACTGGATAAGCCACAGTTCCAGCTCCCCACTGCCCTGGGCTGTCTGGACATTTGGGACTGAGCCCTTCCCCCTCCAGAGCCTGCCGGTAGACTTTTGCTGAGCTGCTGGTAGTAGATGGGACCAGGGGGCCCAGCCCAGTGGAGTCATGTCTGGAGGGGGGGGTGCGCCCCTAGATACAACTACAAAGTTTTCTTGGGCACAATAGTGGAGTTGCTGTGGTCAAGTGTAAGTCTTGCTTCGGGAAAGCGCATATGCCCTCTGTGTGTGTGTGTGTGTGTGTGTGTGTGTGTGTGTGTGTGTGTGTGTTCCTTCACACGGCTGTGTGTGTGGTCAAGCACAAGCCAGTGAGAGGGGAGAGGGAGTGAGAGGGCCTAAAGTTGGCAGGGGAAAGGAAGGGAGGCAGCCAGGGTCAGTACCCCAAACTGAGGGTTCCTCCATTTACTGGAGGTTAAGAGAAGGAAGAATAGCATCACAGTTGTATTGGCAGCTGGGAAAAATGGCCCGAGCTTCTAAGGGGGAACCACCACCATCCATGAGGGCTGTGGGGGGGGGGGGGGGGGGGGGAGGCGGAGGGCAGTGGAGGAGGTGCCCTATAGCGCTTGCTGGTTGCCATAGCTCTGTTCCAAGGCGGAAGTACTTTAAGCCTGATGGCAATCCCCCTAGGGGGAGGGGAGAGAGGAGAGGGAGAGGGAGGAGAGACACTTCAAGCTGCCTCTCAAGGATGCCAGTGATCTCACCTGGATCTTGGGGTCAGTCACCCAGGAGCAGTTGCTCTGGTAGTAACTCCAACCCCTGGCACTGGGCCAGGGATGGGGCACTAGTTCAACTTTTAAAACAGAGTTGAGAATTAACCTTCTCCAGTATCTTATACCTGCTTCACCAGCCATTCAATTCACTCAGAACCTATTTACCCCAGAAGATAATAAAATTGCCAACATCACAATGAAATAGTCCCAAAAGGGAAATAAATGTTCCAATGATAACCATTGTAGACAACCCTTTCTCATAACTCTGGTCAGATATCAGAGAAAATAGATCTCCAAGTGTAAGATGTTTAAAGCTATTGTAGAAAAATAACAGTTCACCCAGAAACCCAACTCTTGCTTTAGGGTATCAAGGGACTAGTAGGTACCGTACACTATTTCTTAAGAATATTCTTGTTATGAATTGGTCTAGGAAAATGTGTTTTTGTGTATGTGTCAGCTCTTTTTAGAAAGCTGCTACACACTCTGTTACAGTCGCCAAGATTTTTAATATGAAGATATGAAATGATCAGCGAATGTAACAATCTAATGATTCAGCAAATATGATGCTGCAAGACCAGGGAAGCAATAATTAAATCTTTAGCATATTGGTGGCTGTTTCCCAGCTCCAAATCATCTTTAATTTTTTTTTCTATGCAGTCCAAAAGCACACTAACACAGTTATTCACAAATACATTCCGAAAGATATCAAAAGAGTCCATGTAAGTATCTTGTGATAGTCACAATATGGGTTCAAACTATCATATGGTAACATTTTCCATGCCTGGAGCTCAGCTGTTAAACACACACACACACACACACACACATACACACACACACAGTAATATGATGAGGGATCTATTAATCCTGTCCAAAGAAACATACATTACTCTGGTTGCTTGTTGCTAAGAGCAACATGCTTAAGTACCATCTAAGAACAGGAAGAAAGCAGGGAAATATTCCAATAGAAATAAAATATACCCTATTGTCTCTTTTGTTATTGCCAGACTTCTTAGCTCCAGGTGTTTAACATGTGAGTGTTGGTGGGGAGAGCTGTTGACATTTCATTTTTAATATAATATATATATTCTATATAAGCATCCCTACTTTCTTTTCACAAAGCATGATAAAGATAATGAATTTTATCATGAGGGGGAAAAGCACATGGGGGAAAACAAAACAGGAAAAGAAGATGCCACTGGTGTCAACAGAAAATGCAGGCAATCACTCTGCTTTAAATTGGACTGAATAACTTAATGCATTTGCTTTTATCTCAAAGGCACATGCTCAGGATTATGTGGTTTCCTGCACTCTTTGGTTTAAATCCACTTGAACTGACAAAGGAGCTGCCTACAGCTGAAGCCTTACCCTGTTGGCTTTCTCCTCTTTCTCTCCTCTACTTTAGAGAACTTTCCCTGAGTAGTTCTGTTCCTACTAAAACTCCATTGGCCACAGTGAGTGAAATGAGCCTTTCCTGTGATGCATATCCTCCTGACCACGGATTCCAATGGAGTCTCACCTCTAGATTTTCTTTCCAGTTCCCAAGAAACCTAGTTTCTTGGGAAAGCAGGAAATTCTCCTGAAATGCAACGATCTCTTTATGACAGAGTGAAATAAAGACTCAGATCTGGACCCCACACATCCAACTCTCCCCCTCCACACACACACACATACACCATTCATCATTCTTTTAGTCCAGGATTCTCACAGCAAACGCTATAAAAAAAAAAAAAAAAAGGGACGCAGCAAGTTATAAGCAAAAACAAACAAGACTGTCTCAGGATAAGATAGTTTTACTGGGATGTGTCTTCCTCCCATGAAGAAAAGCTTGCATTATTTTGTTTTAAAGCGCTGCGTTCCAATAAGGACATGAAAAGTGGCATAGACAAGCCATTAGATGAACCAAGAAGGCACCAAAGAAGGCACTACCGAGGACACCAAAGAGGCTAAGAAAGTGTCTTTCCTGGGCACGGGATGACTGGCCTGGGTCCTGACAGAAGCGGACAGACGCAACTCGCCCACGAGTTCGCAGGTATCCACTCCTCGGCTCCGCGGGCAGGGAGTCTGGCCGCCCCAGAGCTCACGGTGGCCGGGACCGCGCTCGCTCCTCGCGCCGCCGGGAAGGCTGGCAGCGGAGGCGCTGGCCGTGCCCGAGCGTCAGCACCACCAGCGCGGTGGCTGAATGGCCACTGCGAAGACGCATCGACCACCACCACACACCGGCACCCTCTTCACCCTCCCGCGGCGAAAAAGAAAAGAAGAATCAAGAAAGGAGGCGGGGGGGGGGGGGGTAGATAAGTGAAAGCACAGAGGAGATTCTTGAAAACCCTGGAGAAAACTGAGCCCTGAACAAACAGGTCGCCCGGCGCTGAGCCCACCGCCAGGCAGCGCGAACCCGCCTGTTTACATCCAGCACGGCCCGGCCAGCTAAGCGATGGAGAGCCCGGGGCGGGAGCGGGGTGGGAGGTGAAGGCGGGGGTGGGGGGGATCTTACCAAATCTTAACACATGTGTGGTGCCTTGGGAATATCCGATCCACAGTAAACAGAGCAGGAGTTGAAGGGAGCGCCTGACGACTCGATTACTTAGAATCGGGGGAAAAATCTTCATGGTGTTTCTGTGCCTACCCGCGCGGCACCCACTTCCCCGATCTAGCGTTCGGCTCGCGGTTTGGGGCAGGAAGGAGGATGCGTCGAGTAGTGGCTGCCGACAGGATCACGGCATGGTCACAGAGAGAGGAAGGAGTCTCCGCTTCCCAAACCCATTAGCAATCGCTGCATGCTCTCCAGTCACTGCGCCAAGGAGCAAGCTTCCACTGCAAGGGATGGCGGGACTTCCATGTTAGTCCGGGAGCATCCGGGAGGATCCAGCGCGCACACCCACCACGTCCGGCCCGGCCGCGCGCGAGCCTGGGGGAGCAAAGCAGGAGGAAAATCAATAGGAAAATCTAACCTTGGAAACCCACGAGCTGTGCACTGGGAGCCACACAGTCCCAGCACAAAAGGAGCTCTGCTCTGAAAAGGGTTGGCCAGGCCCTATTCTTACTGCACTGCTACACAGCTTCTGACGTGAAGCCAAGATTAACTGAGGAAAATTGAGATAGCTTCTCTCTCTCTCCCCCTCTCCTCCCACCTCTCTCTCTCTCTCTTTCTCTCTCTCTCTCTTTCTCTCTCTTTCTCTCTCTCTCTCTTTCTCTCTCTCTCTGCTCTCTGCCAGTGAGCTTCCCAATATCTATTATGCAACCAATCTGAAAGCCCGCCTTGAGTTGCTGAAAAGAAGAGGAGGAAGAAGAGGAAGAAGAGGAAGAAGAGGAAGAAGAAGAAGAAGAAGAAGAAGAAGAAGAAGAAGAAGAAGAAGAAGAAGAAGAAGAAGAAGAAGAAGAAGAAGAAGAAGAAGAAGAAGAAGAAGAAGAAGAAGAAGAAGAAGAAGAAGAAGAGGAGGAGGAGGAGGAGGAGGAGGAAGAGGAGGAAGAGGAGGAGGGGAAGGAGGAGGAGAAGGATAGAAGAAAAAATAAGAAAAGAGAAGAAAAAGGAGACGAAAAAGAAGTCAGATTTATTTACGTGATGCAAGTTGCTTTTTCAGTAAGAATTTGTTAGAGAGTTAAACTGGTACATGTCTTACAATCAGGGATTGGGTTTTAATAAATAACTAGCAAAGTCAATGGCAATGTTCTAAGGCAGAAGGTTTTCTGTAAGTTAAGCCTTTAAGTTAAAAGTGTAAAACTTTTACTATTCTTTATTAATATCTTAACTTGGAATGAATACCAAATAGAATGCAATGGGAGAGGAGAACTTGGTCTTTTAGAGCTTAGGTGGAATATTGATTACTATCCAAGTGCAAAATTTCTGCAAGTAGACAAGAGAGAAAATACTGACTTAAAATGAAAGCATCTTACTTTCATGCCCATGTTAGCTCATCTGAAATAATTATGAATATATAAGGGACAATCACGTTTGAACTGATACAGCAAACTCTAAAGGATTTTTATTCCTTACTTGCTTCTCATACTTTTTCAGTATTTTTTTTCTTTAAAGGGTGAGATATCATAGCTTTCCCTTAAAATATCATTTGCCAGTTTTCTGAGGAGAATATTTAGAATCCCCTTTCTGGGATGACACACAAGCAACAATTTATTTAAGAGAGAAAAGGTATAGAAACATATTTGTGTTTTAACATAAATATAGTCTATTATTCAAAAATCTAATAGCATTATTTACATTAGTAATTCAAACTAACACATATAGCAATAAATATATCATTGTGAACATGTTTATCTGACTAAGCTGCACAAAAGGCATACTATGGAACCTATCTTTTACAATTAATCACATTTTCATTACCAACGAACAGGGCATGGGTTAAAACTTCAAAAAATTATAACATTATGCCTATCTGAAGACTGTCCAATTTTAAAATAAGGTTATGAGTACTTTTTAAGTCTTGTTATGTTTCTTTCAAATACCTACAAAATACAGGAATGTGTTCATTCAATCATTGTGATGTTTTCCGATCAATATTCTAGAAAGCTGATTTGGGGAGAAAAAACCCTACATTTCTACATTTTTGCAAGGATATTAAGTGTCATTGATTTTTTTAAGATGGAGGCATAACCACAATGTCAAAAATAAACATCATGAATGGCTAGTTCTACAGCCTTGCAAGCAATTCAATCAAATAATCTGTCTGTTGGAGCACTTTAAAAGGAACACCTAGTGTTAAAACCAAGGGTATCTAGCGACTCCTTCAGTCCACATTTAAAACATCTCTTGCAAAGCATGCACAGTCCAACATGCTTGTGTCTGCTGTCTCATTTATTCCATCCTATTTGCTCATTTTTTACCCTATCAGAGACAATAATGACTGCCGAAGCAAAAATAAATATTTTAGTGTTTTCTCATCTCTCAACATAATTGTTAGCTTCTATTTTAAAATACCATGTCCTGTTGTGGTTAATCAAAAGATTTGCAGTGTAGCTGGCATTTAGTAGAACCTGAGAAAACAAAATGTACTACAACTCCTTGCTCATGTATTCTGTTAATACAAGGGTATTTGGTATAACAGAGTTAATAGACGTGCTTAAAACTGGTATTCACAACTACTTAGTTTGTATGGGGTCATTTGTTGTATGTCTACTTGAAACAGTGAAAGAACAGCTTTCAGATTCAATGAAGTTCATAAAAAAAAAAAACAGTTAAAAAAGTCTACCATAAATTCTTCCCCAAAGAGCCAGTTTCACACATATGCTAAGTTGTGTTCATTCATGTCCATCAACTAAGTTGCAAAGCTTAAACATTGCAGACATCAACTCCACCTGTCCAATTGAACTTCTGCAAGACTAGAGACAACCTTTCTTCAGGACCTTGGACAGCACCCCAGGCATCTATTTATTCTGAGGTTGTCATTGAAAATAGTACACTGAATGGTAATGTGCCATTTGAAATGACAATGTGCATATTTCTATTACACAGAATCCAGTAATTTGAATTATTGTAGCACATATTGTCAAGAGGACAATTTTGTCAACTGTGGTGAGTGTATTTTTCAGCCTGCATAACAGGTCTGCTTTAACGTGTCCAGATGTGCTAGCTGTGATCTTATTCCAGAACATATGACTACAAAAGCCACTCGCAGTCACTGTGAGACCCCCTAATGAGCGCTACTTGTTTTCAATAAAAAAATATTTCTGAAAGATTACACAGAATTACAGATAATGAAACAAGCTGTCAGAACTCAGTGGCTAAAGACATTTCTAAAATGTACAATTAGTTATCACTTTCAATTCTCCACCTCCAGATTTCCATCTGTTGTGAGGGTAATAAGATTAATTACCACCTTCTTCTTCTTCAACTTCACTTCTTCCCCAGAGCAACAGCAACAAAGCTAAAAAAAATGACTTCCCCAATACACACAATGATTTGGTGGTGTGGGAGATGTCCTATTGTATGGGCATTTTGAAATTATCACAAGTTTCTCCCCAATATCAAAAGTATAATAGTAGTCCTGAGGCTATATGAAGGACTCATGGTCATTATATACTATTTTCACTGACCATATTAACCTTATTGGTGACAGTTCTGTAATTTGTTCCTTTTATAATAGGAAAAATGCTGCAACTCAATGTCAGGTGATGGTTTATATTTAATAACTAAGATTTATGTACTTTAGCCTCATTTATTTTATTGTCAGTTTAACTACATGACAACCTCTATTGGTAAAAGCTACCACTATGTGGGTTCCAAGGCCAAAACTGAGATTACAAAAAAGAAAAGACTGCACACACACACACACACACACACACACACACACACACATACACACCGGGGGGGGGGGGGGGGAGGAGGGGGGAGGGGGAGGACTATGGCTAGAAGCCTTGAAAAAAAATGTCACAGAAGGCTGATAGGAGGAATAGCAAGCCTATGAAATAAAAATGCACATAGATCCATGCAAAGATTGTTACAACAGGCTATTTGCTCCATCTTTTGCTGTATTTTTGTATTTGCTGACACTAATGACCTCTTATTCTTGGGCAATATTACTTGAGAAGCAATTTTAGTTTCCTATTCCCCTGGTGAAAATGAATCTTATTCTAGTTAGCTGCCACCTGCTGGGGCATGAACAAATGTGTAATAATCCTGATAGAACAACATTTAAAAAGACAATGCCTATACCTTTTGCTGGAAACAGCAATACATATATTATATATATATATATATATATATGTATATATGCCTATGTGTATATCAGAACAACCTGAATTTCAAAGGTGTTTCTAAGGTTCTTCCAAGTTATATGTATATTTAAGTTTAGTGGTTGGTTTTTTTTTTTTTTCCACATGGAAATCATCCTAAAGATTCTACTTTACTTTGTACTGGAGTCCTGCTGTTATGAGACCTTTTGGGAAACCTCATCTGATAGTAACACTTAACCTATTCCTTCATGCAAATGGCCTGTTGCATTGTGGCTTAGCAAAAATAAACAGTTTGCTTTCGCATGGCGTTGAAGAGGCCAAAGAATAAAGGTCAGAGTTGAGATCAGCTGAAATTACACTACTGCATACTTGCAATGCAGTTTCCCTGTCTACAACGCTGTGTTATCATTTGCTCTCCCCTGAATACATTCTCATCTATTCTACTAACATTCTGCTGCAGTGATGGTTAATGGCATTTAAAATTTCAATTGAGGTTTAAATGCTACAGCGATATGCATTGCAATTAAGAGACTGAAGTGGGTTAGACTTGTCTATCCTAAAATTCTTTTTAAAAATCCAGAATGTGGAATCGTTGATGGGCTTCAATACAAGAAAAACAGATCAGACTTGTAGACATCATTCATTTCTCTACCACCGTCCTCCCGGTGCAATTCAATTTGTTTGTTTAACTCCTAAGTATCGAAGGCCACTGGAAGTTGATACGCAGCCCTGGTGGTTACAGAAACGTGTTCTACAAAGTTGTAAAGCAATGAACTAAGTAAAGTCGAGCCTGAAATACAATTGCTTACCTTCCAGCTACTAAGATTCAAACGAAATCAATCATTCTTCGTGCCGTGAAAAATCATCATTAATCTATGAGATCGCTTCTGATGACAGAATACTTACAGTATGAAGAAATGACAGAAGGGAATCTGTGCCTTACCAGAAGGCTCTGAGTAGCGAGTGAGTTTTCTAATACTCATTGCCTATTCTTAGATCCCTCTTGGTAGTTTAATCTCTCTCTCTCTCTCTCTCTCTCTCTCTCTCTCTCTCTCTCTCTCTCTCTCTCTCTCTCTCTCTCTCTCTCTCTCTCTCTCTCTCTCTCTCTCTCTCTCTCTCTCTCTCTCTCTCTCTCTCTCTCTCTCCCTTCCTCTCAATACCAAGGGATGTGGTTTGCTATAAAAAAAAGTTCTGGACATTTAAGATCCGCTGCAGTAACACTATGTC